TATGTCTGAGGATGTAGCACCTCTTAGCATGTGAGGAAGCTCAACTTGAGGCAAGAACAAAATCCTCTTTGAGGCCGGAAAGCGAGTCACTTGGAATAACAATGATGGTCATGGAGGTTGAGTAGATGAATGTTGGATAAACGCTGAAAGGAAGACTGAAAAGTCTTATGAATAGCTCAGACCCAAGAAGGACAGAGGCTGAGAGGTATCAGGGTTGACAACCAGATTCCTCCAGTGAGTGACCAAGTGGATGAAGTCCCATGTACCTGGGAAGGAGAAGAATTTCTGCCTACCAAATTTATGTTTCCCAATCATAGACTTTCCTTTCTACTCATGCAGTGATTCATAGATGAATTTAGTATTCATGCATAGACCAAAGCAAGTATGTTAATTATGTTCTATTGTCTTTATTAAAAAGTCTACCCGTGTACTTTCCTCAAGCACAAGTGTGTGTGTGTGTGTGTGTGTGTGTGTGTTGTTGTTGTTGTTGCCAAGTCACAAGGCTTGAACAGCCCAGGTGTTGTCCCTGAGCTTTTTCACTCAAAGCTATCACTTGAGCTAGAGTTCTAGTAAAGCTCTCTTTTTTTCTACTCTTAAGAAAGGCACAAGGCTTTTCACGGAATTGGCCTTCCATATGCTGAGTCAGATGACTTTTAAAAGCTACTCACATTTCAGATAAGGGTGAGAAGAAAACCATACAACCCTTTAGGAAATAATGTTATCTACAAAGATATGAGAACCAGATTCGTAAGCTAAAGCTGAAAAACAAGTGAGAGAAGGTGCTGGTGGCTCACGCCTGCAATGCTGGTTACTCAGCAGGCTGAGATCTGAGCATCACAATTTGAAGCCAGCCCAGGCAGGAAAATCCATGAGACTTTTTGAAGCCAGCGCAGGCAGGAAAGTCCATGAAACTTTTACCTCCAATTAGGTACCAAAAAGCTAGAAGTGGAGCTATGGCTCAAGTGTTAGAGCACCAGGCTTGAGCAAAAAAAGCTAAGGAACCAGGAACTACATCCTGAGTTAAAATCCCAGTACTTGCATGCACACACATAAATTAAGCAAGGGAGAAATACTTCAACATTGCAAAGAAAAATGATTCTGAACCTAGAACTCAGTCAGTGACATTTGAAGGCAAAGTAAAGACATTTTCCAACATGAAACAACTCAGAGATTTTCTTTACAAACACAGGAACATTGTGTAAAGAAGTCATCTGAGGTAGTGTTTTAACACAACGCGGAATGAATTGAAGATGAAGGATGAACAAATATTCCAGAAACACCCTCAACTGAGCAAGAGACATAGCCAATCAAAAAGTAAAAAAGCATGGAAAACTTGATTCTAGAATTCTGGTTATCTAGGATTATCTTTCATTTCTTATGTAATCAACACACTATTTGGCTTTGGGGGACAAGTCATTTTATTTACACAATCATAACATAATATTAATGTTGGTGGTTGGTTTTCTGTGTTTAGAAGTGGCCTACAAAAAGTTACAACAAATTTATTTGTTTTGCAGAATGAAACAAAAAAAGTTATGATTCTCATCACCATTGTATTTTATTAGCAAAAATAATTACAATAGAAGCATGTTAATTTCTTTATCTTTCTTAACTAAAGTCCAGAGGTGGTAAGACAGGCCAGACAAGTTTAAATGAATTAAATTTAAGATGGTTGGCTTTAATTTTTTTTGAATTTTTATCTTTAATTTAAACATAACATTTTATCTTTAATCTACTTTTTATGCCTGTCCTGGGGCTTAAGTGATTTCCACAGATCTACCTTTTAGTTCCATAATTCTTCCTTTAGCTGTTTGATTTTTCTTTGTTTCAGTGTCTGCATTTTGTAAAGTATTTTGTTATCGTTAAGTAGTTGTGTTAGAGTATATTAGATTTTGCCAGAAAACCACGAAGACATCCAGGTATGAAAATCAAATTGAAGGTTTATTGCCGGTAAAGGGGCCGGCAAGACCCCCTCTCACAAGAGAGGAATGAGAAGAAGCAACAGCTATTGTTTGAGGTGACCTATGTAACTACTGAGGCTCGGAGGGGCTGGATGGGGCTAGGAGGCAGAGACCCTGGTGTGGAGGTGTGGACAGGAGGACCAGGGCTTCATCATGGTGGACTAGGATTTATGATTGCTGCCCAAGTAGTAGACAAGGGGCCTTGCAGCTGCCCAGACCTGAAGGTCACTCTCAGGGGCTCTTGTTGCCTTAGATGGTGGTGGCTGCCCCAGAGGAGTGCTATCCCAAGGTAAAAGGGGGCAGGTGGAGTCTGATTACTGTCTTTACTAAATGGGCCTAGTGTTGCCTAGGAAGGGAGCATGCTAGGTTGTGGAAAGGGGAAGAAGAGTGCTAAGCTATGGGAGGGAGCTCATTGAGCTTACAAGTTGTACAAAGGAGTTTCCATTTAACAAAGCAGTCTATGAATACACTGCATCTTGAACAATGTTAATAGCTATATTTTTAAAAGAATTTCCTTTTGGGGCTCTTTTACAAACACGTTTCTTCATTTTGTTGTACTTATACTGTGGATGGTATTTCCTTCCTCCTTCCCTCCCTCCTCCTCTCTTTTTTTCCTTCCTTCTTTCCTTCCTTCCTTCCTTCCTTCCTTCCTTCCTTCCTTCCTTCCTTCCTTCCATCCTTCTTTCCTTCCTGCTTTCCTGCCTTCCTTCCTTCCATCCTTCTTTCTTCCTTCCTTCCTTCCTTCCTTCCTTCCTTCCTTCCTTCCTTCCTTCCATCCTTCTTTCCTTCCTGCTTTCCTGCCTTCCTTCCTTCCATCCTTCTTTCCTTCCTGCTTTCCTGCCTTCCTTCCTTCCTTCCTTCCTGCCTTCCTTCCTCCCAGATCCCTTCTTCTTGTTACTTGTTTTTAGTTTTTGAGGAGGGTCTCACAATGTAGCTGAGGAGGGCCTAGAATTGCCTTCAATTCCCAGGTGCTGACATTAGATTGTGTGCCACCATACCCAGTCTACAATTTTCTTCTTTTGAGTTTTGGTTGTGTTTTATCATATGAATCCAAGAGACTCATGGCTTCATTATTTGTGTATCTTACCATTTCTTGTGCCAACTGACATTCGCACTAGTGAGTTTCCAAGTACATTTGACAACACTTGACTTTGGAGTTGGGAACTCATCTCAAGTTACATTGCTTCCATGGGTGCAGGCTGGGGCACCAGACCAGAGTGGCATTCCTCCATGGGAGTTTCAGGTTTGCCTGGGAATATATGGGTTTTGTGAGTTCTGGAGCAATTTTTACATTAGTGGCAGTGCTTAGGATTTCTTTTTATTCTTTTTATGTTTTGGTTTGTTTTGTTTTTGTTCAGTTCTTTTGTTTGTTTTTGCCAGTATTGGGCCTGAACTCAGGGCTCTGTCCCTTAGCTTTTTGCTAAAGGCTAGTGCACTTCCATTGAGCCACAGTTCCACTTCTAGCTTATTGCTGCTTAATTGGAGATAGGAGTTTCACGGACTTTTCTGCCTAGGCTGGCTTTGAACCAGTATCCTCAGATCTCAGCCTCCTGAGTAGCTAGGATTATAGGTGTGAGTCACCAGTGCCTGGCTTAAGTTTTCTCTATCGAAGAACTAATGTCTACTTTAAAGCCATTTCTTTCATGTCTCTCTCAGCATATACTTTAGAAATAATTGAACAAGCCTCACTGGAGAAATTTCAGAAGTTCTATTGACAACGTATGAGGGATTTGTGACCTTTAAACACATATACACACATAACACTGGTCTCTTTTTTCATTTTATAACTGGGGAAACTGAGGTCCTTTGGAAAAGATCAATGGCTTGTACTGAGACCCAATGAGTTAAAGACAGAGCCGCCATTAAAACCTGCATCTCTGTTGTTAAAATAGAATTGGATAATACGAAATGAATCAAATAATTGAATTTGACCTAGATGGTGATGATAATGATTCTAAGGTATTGATGGTGATGACAATTCTAAGCTTTATCAGATTTCTTTTTTTACTGTTCGTAACTGTTGATTCAAAATCCAGATGAAATTTGCTTTCTTGGTGTGTGTGTGTGTGTGTGTGTGTGTGTGTGTGTGTGTGTGTGTGCACGCATACAACACGAACACGCGTTTCCCCCCCCCCCCCCCCCCCATCTTAGAGCTTGAATTCAGGGCCTGAGCATTGTCTTTGAGCTTTGGCTCAAGACTGATGCTCTACCACTTAAGCCACAGCTTCACTTCGGGCTTTTTGGTGGTTACTTGGAGATAAGAGTCTCGCAGACTTTCTAACAGGGATAGCTTTGAACTGCAAACCTCAGCACCTCTCAGCCTCCTGAGTAGCTGGGATTACAGGTGTGAGCCACCAGCTCTTCGCTCAAAAATAGTCTTCTAACCTTGATCCTAACATGGGTGGCATATTATCATGTTTTTTCATGGTTCTTTCATGCCCAATTAAATGAAAGCATTTGTTTTCTTTCTAGGTACTGCTAGTAGAGACACTTCACAGATTTTCCTTGATCAACCATTTTCTTTGTCCCCTTGTAAATCATACAGCCTGTGTACAAATACCTAATATTTCATGTTGACTGTTTTTTTCTTTTTTCTTTCTTTTCTTTTCTTTTTTTTTTTTTTTTAGTAACTATCAGGACACCTGTTGGGTTCATTATGCACAGACACTTCAAATTTCTACTGGTTTGTTTAACAATAATTAGTCTTTTTTTTTTTTGCTTCAACTCTCACATATTTACTTTTTTCCTTTTTTTTATGGGGGGGAGGGGTAGGGAGGAGGGGTTAAAGGAAAATTTCACCACCTATCCTTGTGAAACTTCCAGGATTTTACCTTTCATGATTTTATAGAACATGTACAAACCAATAGGTGGTTCAAATTAATGTAATTTAAAGAAAATGACGGTTTTATTTTGTATTCTGTTTGCAGAACAGAGTGTTCTGAACATCATCACAAAGAGAAAGGGCCTTAAGCCACAGGTACAGTATATTATTTACACTGAAGGAGCTCTTGTGTGGACAAGAAAGCGCTGACAGGTCAAATGGATCCCATGGAACTGAGAAATGTCAACATCGAACCCGATGATGAGAGTAGCAGTGGAGAAAGTGTTCAGGACAGCTACACGGCGGTGGGAAAGTCGGAGAAGGCAGCCATGAGCAGGTATGGCATTAAAAATTACCATGTTTGATGGATGAATCCAGACTTCTGGGTATAGTGGGTTGGTTTATAAATACATTTGAGATACCAACATTTGTGTTAACACACCAATTCCCTTATCCAGAAGCAGAAGTATAATAATACTGCCCACCTTTGTGTTGACTGATGTAGAACTGAGGTTACAATATCTGTGTGTCTGTTAATGATGGCGTCGGTATTTTATTTACATTGACGTCTTCTTCGTCTGTTCCTTCTTACTGCACTGGAACTGTTGCTACATCTCCAGGGTTCTTTTCACACTAAAAGAGTCCACTGACTAAGCTCAGCCATCACCCATGACCTGGAACACATGCCACACCCTCCACTGAGTTTCAGATCAGACAGATAACTGTCCACTGGGTGCTGGTGGCTCTCATCTACAGTTCTAGCTACTCGGGAGGCTGAGAACTGAGGATCAAAGTGTCAAGTCCCCAGGCAGAAAAGTCTATCAGAGCCAGCTTTGAATGAGACACCTAAGGGACCGCATCCAGGCCCAAATCTCAAACCTCAGGACTGGCATAATAACAACAAAAAGAAATTGAACAATAAAAAAAACCCCAAAGCTGTCATTCCCTCATAATTCCCATCTTGCTGAAAACACCATTATCTTTTTTTTTTTTTTCCCTCCTTATGCCAGTCCTAGGGATTGAACTCAGGGCCTGGTCACTGTCCCTGAGCTTTTTTCACTCAAGACTAGTTAGTGCTCTACCACTTGGGCCACAGCTCCATTTCCAGCGTTTTGGTGGTTAATTGGAGATAAGAGTCTCATGGACTTTCCTGTTCTGGGCTGGCTTTGAACAGTCATCATCAGATCTCAGCCTCCTGAGTAGCTAGGATTACAGGTGTGAGTCACTGACACCTGGCTTCACCAGTGTCTTTAACAACTGGGTCCAAAGTCCCTGAGCTTCAACTTGAACTCATTCCTTCACCCAACCCTTACACCTAATCTATATTCACCTAATCTATATCTGTTATTATCTCTATCCAATTGACTGTTCCTTATTAATGTTTCAAAACCACCTTTTTCTCTTTATCTGTTTTATGGCCAGCTTACTTCAGACATTCATCCTCTTTTCTACTAGGTCAGTCCTCATTTGTCTGCCTATCTTTTATTTTATTTTCTTCTATCCAGCCCTCCTCATATTTTACAAGAGTAGTCTTTTTTTCTTTTTCTCTTTTCTTCCTTCTTTTCTTTTTCTTTCTTTCTTTCCTTCTCTCTCTCTCTCTTTCTTTCTTCCTTTCTTTCTGTTCTTTCTTTCTCTCTTGGTACCAATTAGGAGGCTTGAACTTGAGGCCTGAACATTGTTCCTGAACTTTTGTGCTCAAGGCTAGCATCTTAGCACTTGAGCCACAGCTCCACTTCTAGATTTCAGGCAGTTAATTGGAGATAAGAGAGTCTCATAGACTTTCATTCCAGGGCTGGCTTCGTACTGTGATCCTCAGATCTCAGGCTCCTGAGTATCTAGGATTATAGATATGAACCACCGGCACCCAGCAACAGTAGTCTTTTATATTTTACAAGTTGAATCATGTCCCCACCATGGGATAAAACCGTTGCAAGACTGTGCATTAGCTATGAAATGAATATTGGACTGTGCATTGCTTGGCATGCAAGTCCTTTTGTTGACTCTTCCTGGCCTACGTCTCCTGCCCGGTGTCTTTTCCTGCTCCTTTTCTGGAGCCTCTTGCCTTCACTGTTCTGCCCTCTCTGCCTGAAATCACCCATCCCTATTAATACCTCACTCCTCAAGAGTCAATTGAACATCAGATTTCCTATGAAATCTCCAAATGCCCTGCTCCTTAGCCCTCCCCCAGGGAGGTGACCTTCCTTCCTTCTTGTTCAGGTGATAATCACACCTTAAACACAGGTTAATGGCCCCTTTCCTCCCCTTCCCCCCACCCATTCACACTGCCTAGTGAATAGTAAGTACATGCAAGGAAATATTCAATAAGTAATTTAATTTTCCACAAAATGTTATATAATATAGATGGTACATGATCAAAGATCCTCAGTAAGGAATCTTTTTAACCAAATCTGGGCTTGAATTAGGGAGAATTATTCTCAAAACAATAATCTTAGCTACTCAAGAGGCTGAGATCTGAGGATCATGGTTCAAAGCCAGCTCTGGTAGGAAAGTCTATGAGACTCTTTGCTCCAATTAACCACCAAAAAGCCAGAAATGCAGCCATGGCTCAAATGGGAGATCATCAGCCTTAAATGAAAAAAACTAAAGGATAGCGTCCAGGCTCTGAGTTCAAGCTAGTCCTGGCATACAACAAAAGGACTTCTCATTTTATTCACATGTCCCAGTAAGTTCTTCAGGTGAAAGGACTGTTCTTGCAGGAAGGTGTGCAGTACAGTGGATTTAAGATTAGACTAAGGAGCTTATAGTGGGATAAACCATGGCACTTTCTAAGTGGAGTGGGTTTTTGTTTGTTTGTTTGTTTTTGCCAGTCCTGGACCTGGGAACTACCCCCCTGAGTTTCTTTTGCTCAAGGCTAGCACTCTACCACTTGAACCACAGCACCACTTCTGACTTTTTCTGTTTATGTGGTACTGAGGAATCAAACCCAGGGCTTCATGAATGCTAGATAAGCACTCTACCACTAAGCCACATTCCCAGCCATAAGTGGAGTGATTCTTGAGGATACAGTATAGTAAGTAGCACAGGCTTGGAGTCTGAAGGGTATTTGTTTAACTTTGGAAAAGATTTATCACCTCTGAATTTCAGCGGAAGATGGAGAGTGGCCAGCCTCAAGTACTTTTCTCTAATCATTAAAGGAATGCATTGAACTATGGATGATACTTAATACATTTTTGTTCTTTCTGTTCTACATCATCACCCTAAGGAAATGATCCAAATCCTAAGACTTTCTGAGTCTGAAAGAATTGTACACTGTTATGAGCTTTGCAGAGGTTGGCTGAGCTCAATGGAGCATCTTTGCAAGAATAGACTGGGAGTGATTGATACCATTTGGCCTTCAAAAAGTTATAACAGAAAGGGCAATAGTGCTTTGGTTAAACATCATAAAACATCTACTGAACCACTCACACTTCACAACTCCTAGCTCAATCATAAGCCATCATGTAATTTTAGAATCACTTTGTGTGTGTGTGTGTGTGTGTGGTATGTACTGGTACTGGGGCTTGAACTCAGGGCCTAGGCCTTAGCTTTTTTGCTTGAGGCTAGAACTCTACCACTGGGATTATGCCTCTACTTCTGCCTTTTGCCGGTTAATTGGAATTAAGAATCTCACAGCTGCTGCAGCTGACTTTGAACTGCAGTCCTCAGGTCTCAGTCTCTTGAGTAGGTAGGTTTACAGGCATAAGCCACCAGCACCCAGCTAGAATCACTTTTAAAAGATGGGTTTTATTTATGTTGGATTTAGATGGAACTTTCAAATGTAACTTTTGGGGAAATTCCACATACTGTATTGATTTAGGATCATTTCACTTATGTTTTCAATACATACTCCATTTTGGTATCAAAACATATGATACACTAGGGACATATCTCATACATTTTGTACAATCTTGGCATGCTTTAGGGCTACAACTCATCTTTGACAAAATAAGAACATGTAAAAAAAGAAAATTGAGTTTCTTTCTCACACATACACACACCACATTAAAACAGGGTTTCAATTCAATGTCAGTTTATGCTTACAATACATCTTGTTTTCAAATTCTAATGTTTTAATGATGCATGGAACAGAGATTTTAATTTCTCAAAGTAAAAAAAATAGTGTCAGACATTCCTTTGTTTCAATTTTTCTTTTAAGTGATATTGCTTTTGTAGTCTTTAGTCTCATTTTATTTTCTTATCTCAGAGTCTTGCTAAGAGCAATGTGAGTCAGTCCTTGTACAGCAAGGATAGTTTAACCACAGACTATTGCAATAAATCACACACACACACAATTATTAAAAAGGTGTCTGAGAGAGTATGCAAATGGAAGAAGACCACAATGGAGGGCATGATATTTTTCTACGAGGAGTAAAGGAGAATGTCAGGGAATACTGTTAACTTGCATGCTTGGAGCTAGTTACTCCTGAGTTCTGTACTCTGCTGTCCATACCTGGTATTGCTCACCATTCTTTTCTTTTTTTTTTCTCTGCTGTTTCTGGGGTTTGAACTCAGGGCCTGATTTTGTCCCTGAGCTCTTTTGCTCAAGGCTAGCTTTCTACCATTCGAGCCACAGTGTCACTTCCAGTTTTTGAGTGGTTAATTGGAGATAAGAGTTTCACAGGGACTTTTCTGCCCTAGCTGACTTCACACCGAGATCTTCAGATTTCAGCCTCCTGAGTAGCTAAGATTACAGGCATTACTGGTGAGCCACCAGTGCCCAGCTACTTCCCACTTTTTTTGTAGTCTAGTAGAGATAATAGACTCACAGACTTTCCTGCTTGCGCTAGGTTTGAACTGTGATCCTCAGATCTCACACCATTCTTACTTTCTCATCAGATTAATTTTCAGGATTAGCTCCCCTATAATATTTACAGATCTCGTATCATAATCACTTTCTAATTTATTTCTAGGAGAAAACTTTCTTCAGTTATTCTGTGGTGTGTGTGTGTGTGTGTGTAGGCGCGCGCGCGTGCACGCGCATGTGCGTGTGTGCGTGCACAATGGGACTAGGTTGTGAACTCAAAACCTTGGGCTCTTCCTTGGCTTTTTTGATCAAGGCTGGTGCTCTGCCACTTGATCCACAGCACTTTTAGCTTTTGTGCTTGTTTATTGGGTAAAAGACTCAGGTTTGTCTGCCCAGGTTGACTTTGAACCACGATCCTCAGAGCTCAGCCCCCTGAGTGTCTAAGATTACAGGCATGAACCACTGTGTTCAATTTCTTTTATCTTGTCATTTAATGCAAGAAATGCCTTTAAAGTTGCATCTATCTATTTGGTGCCAGTAGCTCACACTTATAATCCTAGCTACTCAGGAGGCTGGGATCTGAGTATCATGGTTCAAAGCCAGCTCCAGGCAGGAAAGTCCATGAGACTCTTATTTCCAATTAACCACCAAAAAATCAGAAATGGAGCTGTGCCTCAATTGGAAGAGCACTAGCCTTCGAGCACAAAAGCTCAGGGACGGTGACCAGGCTTTGAGTTCAAAAAGCCCTAGGACCAGCAAGTAAAAACAAAAACAAAACCAACAGCTTACACCTAACTTGTAAGGACCATTTTTCAGAAGTAATCGGAGTTGAGCATTTTAAGTAACAGCAATGAGAAATGCCTGTGTGGTAATTTGGTGGGTAAACAAGCCATCGTAGCAGCTGGCTTCATTAGTGAAGCTTTTTGGAAATATGGCTGGCCTCTAGTCCGTTGCTTCAAAGCTCAGGCAGAGGAGCTGCAGCAGCTGACCAGCCATGAGAATTAATGTGTGCCGTTTCCAGCTGTGCTCAAGCAGACCAGAAACACAATGTGCTGCACACAGCACTGTGGCTGAGTCCTATTGCCCTTTCCACTCCTCCTCCAATTGGTTAGATTTCTTTAACAATTTTCATGTCATCTGTGATCTAATAATAATCCAGGTGCATTTTCAGAGCAATCAACACACACACATATACACACACACTCAGAACATAGAGCTACTATTTTCTGATAAGCAATATATGCATGCACATGCCCTAAAATAAGGAATACCTACTATTGGAAAAGGTCCTAGACTTGGAGTCTGGCAGGTGAACATGGGCTCCTTCATTTTTTAGAGCCCTAATTGCTTCATTTGATGAATAGGACTGTCCGCGTTCTTCTCAGGGATATTTTAGGCATCCAATGAGTTGAAGATCCCAATATCTAAGCATTTAACACATCTTTATTAAGCTAACAAATTCAAAGCTGGTACCAGTGGCTCACACCTGTAATCCTTATCAGGAGGCTGAGGTCTGAGGATCTTGGCTCAAATCCAGCCTAGGCAGAAAAGTACAGGAGAAGCTTATCACCAATGAACCACAGAAAGCCAGAAGTGGAGCTGTGGCTCAGTGCCAGTCTTGAGTGAAAGAGCTAAAGGACAGCACCCAGGCCCAGATAGTGACTTATATAGAGTCCACTTAGCATTCATTTAGGACCTGGGTTTAATCTTCAGTGCCACAAGAATAAACAAATAAATAAAAATAAGGTATTAATAAATGGGGTGCTGGTGACTCACAGCTATAATCCTTGCTACTTAGGAGGCTGAAGTCTGACAGCCCTGGCAGGAAAATCCATGAACACATGAACATTGATCTCCAATTAGCCACCAAAAAATTGGGAATAGGAGGTCAAGCTTAAGGTCCTGGTTTCAAGCCCTGTTACTGGCACATGCGCTCTCTCTCACACACACACAATAATAATAACTTAATCACCTGGTTGATATGGTAGTAGTTTAGAAAACTTAAAGAATAATCATTTTGTATCTGTTTTCTGGAATCTTCTAAGTGAGAACAAGATTAGGTCCCATTAATCTTTTCTTTAGATAAAATAATAAATACAGCATAAATTATTTTGCAGTTAAACTATTTCCTTTGTAACTCATCTTTTCTTCCTTTCCAACATCTACTCACAAATGAAGTTCAGTTTGAGGACCAGAAAAGGAACATTGGTATGAAAAAGAAAAATGGAAGTAGCTTTCCCTCCCTGCCCTTAGTTTTTGTTCTCCTAGTTCAAAGCCTTAGATCGCCTGAAATGTCAATATAACTGAGGGTATTTATTTTGATGTGTTTGGTTTCCTGTTTTCCTTGTATGTGTATGTGGGTGTTTAGTCAATTTGCTAATGAAGATACAGAAAGCCAGAAGTTCCTGACAAATGGATTTTTGGGGAAAAAGAAGCTGGCCGATTACGATGATGAGCATGTAAGTGGAATCTCTTTGTTGAAGCAAGAACAGGTCTGAGGGTGTCTCATCTGCCTCAATCTCTGTGGCAAAACAATGTGAATGAAATTTTCCAGGCCTTGATCAGCACATTCTCTGTTTATTCAGGCCCTTACTGGAATAAGGGCTTGTTTTTCCTGTTCGCCATATGGCTGCATAAATCATTTATGAAATTTATTTATTTTTGAGAAGTCATTCAAACCCAAATACAATCTGCAATCATACTTGTTTTTCCCTTCTTTTTATACCCTACACACACACACACACACACACACACACACACACACACATTAATTTTTACTTGCTGTAAGCAAGCACTATATCTCAATGAAAAATGACATACTTTTCTTAAAGTCGTGGCTTTATTTTACCTTAGTCTTTTAAAAAATATATATATTAAAGTATATATGTATTCTTTTTATTGTACAGAGGGGTTACAGTTATATGACAAAGTAATGAGTCCATTTCCTGTCGAGCATTGTTCCCCCCTACTTTGTTTTTCCCCTACTATCCCTTTCCTCCCCAACTCCCCTACTTCTCCACCACCACTACCACCCCCCTGCAAAGTTGTAAAGTTCATTTTCAACATGGTGTCTTGTACATGTCATTGTTACAATGGGTTATCCTGTATCCTTATTTCAGCATTTTGTTATTTCCCTTCCCCTCCCCAAATTAGAAAAAAAATGTATATACAAGATACAGAACACCGAAATCAAATACAGTTCTTCCCCCATGTTATCTTAGTCTTTTTTTTGGGGGGGTCCGGTCGTGGGGCCTGAACTCTGGGCCTGGGCGCTATCCCTCAGCTCTTCAGCTCAAGGCTAGCACTCTACCACTTGGGCCACAGCACCACTTCTGGCTTTTTTTTATGCTTATGTAGTGCTGAGGAATCAAACCCAGGGCCTCAAGCATGTAAGGCAAATGCTCTACCACTGAGCCACCTTCCCAGCCCATGTTACCTTACTCTTTAGATTTTAATCTCCTCCAGGAAAGACAATGTGAGTATAAGAACAGTCCAGAAAGAGCTAGGCTGCTGGTGGCTCACACCTGCAGTCCTCAATACTCAGGAAGCTGAGATCTGAAGATCTCAAATTCAAAGACAGATCTTTGAGACTCTTATCTCCAGTTGGTTAATCAAAAAGTCGGAAATGGAGCTGTGGCTCAAGTGGTAGAGCAGCAGCCTTTGAGTAAGTGAAAAAAACTAAGGGACAGTGCTTAGGTCCTGAGTTCAAGCCCCAGTACTGGATTGACACACACAACAATAAGCAGAAGAATAAAAAGAATAATACAAAACCAGATTGATCCCATAACAAGTATTTGCTTATAAAGTGCCTCCCTTTTCTTCTAGCATCCTGGAACTACTTCCTTTGGAATGTCTTCATTCAACCTGAGTAACGCCATTATGGGCAGTGGTATTTTGGGCTTGTCCTATGCCATGGCCAACACAGGCATCATCCTTTTTATGTAAGTGAACCTACGTGTCTATATTCATTGACAAAGTCCTTGCCAGAGCCTGGTACTGTTCCAATGAACAATCTGAAGTATGATCTTTATGGAGAAACTGAGAAAGAATTGGAGGAAATATTGGCAAGTACTTCTTGCTTTTAGATACAGCTTCCAACCTGAGGAATCATGGTACTTGCTCATCTATCTAGCTCTAGGCAAAAACTAGAAAGTCTATGTGTTCAACCATCCCAAGTGCTAGCTGGAGCAGTTCCTCTCTTCTGCAGAAAGAAGCTAATTTACAACGCACCTCCTTGCTAAATAAATGCTTACAATAAGTCAATATTAGCTGGGTGCTGGTGGCTCATGCCTATAATGTTAACGACTCGGGATGCTGAGATTTGAGGACTGTGGTTCAAAGCTTAGCCTAGGCAGGACACTCTGTGAAACTCTTATATCTAATCAAGTACCAAAAAGCCAGCTGTAAGCTGTGGCTCAAGTGGTAGAGCACTGGCCTTGAGCAAAAAAAACTTAGCAAAAAATCAGTGCCCAGGCCCTTGGTTCAAGCACGCACACACACACACACACACACACACACACACACACACACACAAATAATAATAATAATAAAGTTAGTGTTTCATAGTCAGGAAGATCTTTTCTGGAGTCTAATCTGAAAAGCAACCCTCCTCACAGAAGGGGCAAGGATAGAAATGGAGGGAGAAGGGGAGACAAATGCAGTCATAATATTCCATGTACGTATGTGAAAATGGAAGTAGGAAAATTGAGGATTGGGATGGGGCTGGGAGAGTTGGAGGAGAACAATGGAAGTTGTAACAGTGATGTATTATACTCTTATGACTTGTTCCATTGAAGCCCCATTATAGAACTACTTAAAATTTTCAAAAAATTGTAAAAAAAAAAAAGGAAAATACATGCCAAAAAACACACTGGACATTGAGTCCAGCATGCCCTGATCTTGTTCCCTGAGCACAAGACCTACAGCCACACTGGCATCCCTCATCCCATAAAGATGCCGCATTTCCACTCACCCCTGAGCCTTTGCACATGGTCTTGGAACCTTTTCTTTCTCCTTTGTTAGCTCTCTTCTGGTGACCTCTATGACTGGTGCATACCTATTGTCCACCCAGTCACTGAAGTTTCAACATCCTGAGTGTGTTCATCTGCATCATTTGGATAAACCAGGCACTCAAGAGACTTGAACCTACATGCCATGCTATGTCTCATCTCTAACACCTCTCACAGAGCCCGTCACAGGGAATATTTCCTGTGAGACTGAACATTATTGCTCAGCCTTTGTATCTTCACCAGACTTGGTCAGTCAAACACTGCAGAAGACCAGCTCCCAGGGGACCCTCAAAGTAGAGACCAGTTAGGCCTGGGCCATGGTGACATCCGCAGGTCTGGGTATGCATTACACATGGCACGTGAGCCACAGCTGGCCACTGTGGAATTCTTCTCAAGAATGACATCTAATGCAATGCTAGAGAGTTAGACAACCGTCTAAGAATGCAACGTTCATATTACACATAGATCCTATTTGGGTTCTGAATGCCACATGTGATTAGCTAATCACACAGTGATCTGAAGGATAAGGGTCAGAACTATAAATATTTATCTAGTTTTAGTGCCTTGATTGAAGTCTTGGCAGCATAATACTGTGTGTGTCCCTTAGATTTTTTTTTTTTTTTTTTGCTCAAGGCTACCACTTGAGCCACAACTCCAGTTCTGGTGTTTTGGTGGTTCATTGGAGACAAGCCTCTCAAGAACTTGCCTGACAAGGCTGACTTTGAACTGTGATCCTTAGATCTCAGCCTCTGGAGCAGCTAGGATTACAGGCATGAGCCACCGGTGTCCGGCAGTGAATGGGTTTTTATATCAACTTAATTGTTATAGACCATGTTTAAATAAACTAGTTTTTTTTAATTATCAGAGTTTTATGCTAGAAATGTATTTATATATTTGCATGCCTTCATAATGTGCATTACCTCGGAGACACAAAGACTGTCTTCTCCTTAATTAATTATGCATACCATTACAGTTAATTAGCAAGCTATCATAGATCACTGATGAATAGAAATGAGAAACACTTTTCCTAACCCTAGGGCATAGATCATTTTCATGGCAAGAGAATATTCCATTTTTAAAACAAGGGTCTCATTTCAGGCCTGTAAATATTTAGCAGATTAATTTAGCTGGAGCAATTAAATCACTAAACACACTAGGATGGTCTTTGTATGAGTAAGTAGCTAAGGATGGGGCTCAGCCGCCCCCTTTATTTCATAGAAAATGATGCTGTGTTTATTGCTTTCAATCCTAGGATTTTATCCCCAAACAAGTATATGTTTAGAATAGAGGGAATGCTTATTGCATTTCTACAGAACAAAATCATGCAATCAGAGTTACATAATTTCATAAAGATATGGAAAAATATATATTAGACATGTATGATCAGGACTAGATGATCAAACAATTTGGGCAGGCATATTTTCTGGATGAGAAGAATATAATATAGCTAGAGTAGTTATAAAATGCACCATTCACAGTCTAAATGTACATTTACAGCATTGTACCAGAAAGTTATCTAAGTATGGGGGAATGTCATGAAAAATGAGCAAAGGAAGGAAATATATACATGTATACATTTTTTAAACTTCAGGCAAAGGCAGTAATGTCACTTCATTTATTATATAGATGCTTTTAATCACACTTTTTAATTGGTGTGCTGTTTCTTTTTTGAGACACTAGGTTGCCTAACTCACGATCCTCCTGTTTCAGCATCCCAAATGGTGGGATTACAGGCATGTGTCATCTTGCCCACTTCTATCCACTCTAGCCACATTTATTTTTGGACTCTAAATATTATTCTGTATAAACGCTGATCGGTATCAACATAAAGGGGCTATGCACATATGTGGATATATAGAGGACCCTGATAACCTAAGTGATTCATTCTGAACACAAAAAAGTAAAAATAAAAAAAGGAATACTTCTACTTACCTTTCCCTGCCATCTCTATTATGCATACAGTTGTCTGACCCTATGGTTGACAAATGTCTTCTCTAATGGACAGGATCAGTCACAGCTCAGACTGTCTGATTTGCTTTCTAGATTTTAAATTTTCATTGTCAGCTTCTTGAGTGATGCTTCAATTTAACGTGCTGATGTAGATATGACATAGATACATACACTTGTATCCAGAGTCATTCGATGTGGTGTCTCCTACTTCTGTTGTAGACCTAGCATCTAAGTAATGAAATCGAGTCTGCAACTGTGTAACTTTAACATAACTATAGACTAGGAACTTCAGGTAGTAGGCTTGTAACTATAAAATACAGAAAATTCTCTGTTAAGTTCCATTAAAGAATACATCTGATGAGCTTGGAGCCAGTAGCTTATGATTATCATCCTAGCCACTCAGGAGGCTGAAATCTGAGGATCAAAGTATGAAGTCAGTCCAGGCAGGAAGGTCTATGAAACTCTTCAATTCATTGTAAAGGTGATATACACAGGGGTTACAGTTACATGATTCAGGTAATGAGTACATTTCCTTTTGAACAGTGTCACCACTTCCCTCATTCTCTCCTAGTTCTTCCCTTCCCAACTTCCCTCTTCTCAAAAATTGTATAGTTCATTTCCAACATAGTATCTAGTGGGGTACACTGCTGAACTGGCTCATCCTTTCTGTGTTCCCTGTTTCCCTCCCCAAATCAGATAAACTTATAGTAAGCGAAGTAAGTCAGACCCAAAGAAACATAGACTGCATGGTTTCTCTCATTGGTAGTAACTAGAATGTGCCTAGAAATCTACAAGTAAACCCAATGGACAGTAAAAGACGAATAATTACACCCGGACGTGATTAATTAAACAGCAAATCTAAACATCCACACAGTGAGAACAAAAGAGGATATTCTTAGAAGAGGATCACAAGGGCTCAATAGCTATGTGCATAAGATCATATAAAATGATGCTCATCAAAATGAACTCCAAGAAACGGAAGTAAGAGGTTTCTCATTATACTGTTTCCAGTTCTTCTTTCCTTTTTTCCCTCTGGTTTATTCCTTTCTGCTGCTGTTTCTTATTTCTGTACCCTTTGTCTCATATATAAGTTCATCCATGAGACTCTTACATCCAGTTAACTACCAAAAAGCTAGAAGTAGAGCTGTGGGTCAAATGGTTGAGCGCCAGACTTGAGTGAAAAGGCTAAAGGCAATAGCGAGGCCCTGAGTTCTAATCGTACAACCAGAAAAAAAATGTGTATCATTCTGAAAAGGCTTTCCCAGCACCTTTTATAGCCAGATCCTTTTTGAAAGTCAATAACTGAGAAGGCGGATCCTTTATTGTAATGACGAATAACACTCTGTCTTATTTGTTATAGAAACCTTATTTTCTATTCTCTATTTGTTTACAGAATCTTGCTGCTTGCAGTGGCAATATTATCACTGTATTCAGTTCATCTTTTACTAAAGACAGCCAAGGAAGGAGGTATGCAACCCCTTAAGCCTATATCTTAGAATATTAGAAAGCCTTTCTATTTTTTCTAAAGTCTTACTATTTGTTTATTTATATAACTTTTTTTTAACATTATCTTTAGGTAGTTGTATAAAGGGGTTTCAATTCAACATGCTGGTTCATGAGAACAATGCAGCTTCATGAATGTCACCCTTTCTATCATTCCCCCCCATTTTCCCTAGCCTTACCTATCCCCTCAAGTTGTGAGACTTTCAGCCTATGTTGTTTCGTAACTTCAGGATCATTTTAGTCAATTTCACATTTTTTTAATCCCCCAAGATTTTTGAGTTATTTTGACAAGTGAAAGGCAAGGGTAGGAGTTGACTGGCTCAGGTTCAAGCCAAATAGAAGAATATAAATGAATAAATAAAAGAGGGAGAACAAAACTGGTAGATGCTAGAAATAACTGTTCTGCTTCTGTAGGTACAACTCTAAGTGGAACCATTTGTACGGAGAACAATTTAATGCATTCAGTATCGGTTTTTGAAGTGGTGTCTTTTGGGTTTATAATTTCTCTTTGTTTATATGTTTGAGACCTCAGTATAGAATTATAGTAGAGAAATATGTTAGTCATTGAAACTATCCTCTAACAAGGTAATTTTCTCTTTCATTGTAGGGTCTTTAATTTATGAAAAATTAGGTGAAAAGGCATTTGGATGGCCTGGTAAAATTGGAGCCTTTACCTCCATTACCATGCAGAATATTGGAGGTAAGGGGACATAGCTTTCAGGGGAACTTTCTTGAATATTCAACACATAAGTCTTATGGCAACAAAGAAGCACTTGGGATACAGAAAAGAAGCTGCTTTATTGTTCTTAAGTTTCAGAAAACAAAATTTCTTAATAGATTTGCTGTTGGATTTTAATTAAAAGCAGCAATATCTGGAATTTTATCATATATAAAATCCCACTAATTTTTTATTGTGTGTGTGTGTGTGTGTGTGTGTGTTGGTCCTGGGGCTTGAATTCAAGACATAAGTGCTGTCCCTAAGCTTTATTTTGCTCAAGAGTAATGCTCTACCACTTGAGCCACACCTCCACTTCTGGCTTTGTTGTTGTTGCTGCTGGTAGTTAGTTGGAGATAAGATTCTCATGGTTTTTCTGCCCTGGCTGGCTTTGAACCTCAGTCCTCAGATCTCAGCCGAGTAGCTAGGATTAAAGAAGTGAGCCACCAACACCTGGCTCTTTGTTGCTTTCTAATGCTGTTCTGGAATTGATGATTGCTTTTAGAAATTAAAACACTAGTGCTCATTTCTATCACTGTCAGAACTATGGGCATCTTGTATGCATGACTGAGGTCACATTGTGGATTAGAGGGTGCTGGGGTAGGACGTGCAGATGCACAAATGTGTGCATCAAGTAAAGACCAGAAAAAGTTTCTAGACATTTAGCAAGGAAACATGAGGATCACAGTGACCTCAGGTTCTTTGGTTTCACAGATCCTTGTAATTCCTACTGAATTATAATTTCCAGGGGAGAGCCTAGAAATGTACTTTCTCCCCCTCAGTACCAGGGATTTTGAACTCAGGACTTCACACTTGTACTGCTGGAGTTCTACCACTTGAATGACACCTCCAGCTCTGCTTTCTTTGTTCTGATGAATTAGATACAGAGTCTTAGGGACTTTTCTGCCTGGGCTAGCTTTGAACCTCCATCTTTTGGATCTCAGCTTTCTTAATAGCTTAGGATTATAGATGTTTTTTAGCAAGGTTTTAGTCTCACACTGGGTCTGTTATGTCTTGGTGCTCAGGAGGTATCCAGAACCTCATTTCATTCAAGTCTCCTGCTAGACGTTGCTTCCTCCTGTGCCATCTTTATTGCTACATCATAGTACTTATTTCCTCCCCTTCTATCCAGACCTCCAGCCGCTGTTCTAAGCCTAGGACCTATGACTTTCACCAGCAGCCAGCATATTTTAAAGTAGAGAATCTTCTGTCAACCTAAATTTCTCCCTCTCTCCCTAACTCCACCCACCCAGTGAAATACCAAATTCCATCCAGCCTACCTCTTATGTGTCTCTTGAATCTCTGTTCACCTTCCTCTTCAAGGGTCACAGACCAGGTGATCACCATTCCAGCCCCGACTCTTTCTGCAGTTTCTGACCAATCACTCTGCCCTGAGATTCCTCTGCTATTGTTCTCTAACTTTTCCTCCACACAAATTTTCTCAGATTCAGGTCTATTCCTGCTTCTCCTACTGAAATTTTTTTTTCAGTATGTTTTGTTATCTTCAAGGTAAATTCAGTGGTCTGAAAGTAGGATCCATCATATTCCTCTACCTAGCTTTCTAGATATTTTCTACCAACTCCATATCTGTCTGTCTGTCTTCTATCTTCCATATCTGCCCATTTATTCAACCATTTATCAATCTTTTATGTTCCATATCTCTCCTACCATCCATCCATCCATTTATCTATCTCCTATTTTCCATTGTAGAAATAGTTTAAGCCAAAATAGTGATCACCTGACCTGTGGTCCATCCATGCATCCTCTATATTTATCGTCTATCTCTATTAGCAGTCTTTCATAGCTCTTATCTATCTATCTATCTATCGATCTCTATCTACCTACCTACATATTTTATTTATATAATCTGTCTTCTATCTTCTATTTCTGTCCATGCCTCCATCCATTTATCTATCTTTCATATACATTCATCTATCCATCCCATTTATTTGTCTTGTATTTTCTGTATCTGTTCATCCATCTGCCTTCTATCTTCCATATCTGTCCATCCATCCATTTATCTATCTTCTATTTTCCACATGTGTCTATCCATCCATCTTCTCTCTTCCATGTCCACCTATCTTCCATATCTGTTCATCCATCCATCCATCCATCCATCCATTTATCTATCTTCTGTCTTCTATAAACTGTCCATCCATCTTCTATTTTATCTATCTATCTATCTTCTATCTTTTTGATAATATTTCATATCTAGGTATCCATCATCTATCCCATATATATTCTGTGTCAAACCATAGCAATTGTATTTTACCTTCTAATAGTATTAGTATTAACTATTTTTAAAAATCCTCCATGCCTTCTTTACATATATCATTTTCCCTTTTGTTACTGTGTCTTGAAGGCCTCTAACTCCAGCATACATTCAGTCTGTGTGTCTCTCTTCCCCATCTCCCTCTCCATTTTTTCTCTTCATCTCTCCTCCTGGTCCATTGTTTCTCTTGGCTGTCAGTGGGATTCCTCTGGGCTGTCTTGGTTTGTGTGAATGTATGTTCATGGATTTTGTTTTGTTTTTTTAAAAAAAGGTATTTTGAAATCTCTAAGTAGAGGATAAGCTTTTGGAGTTTTTTGCACCTGAATGTGAGTCTGTTTCTATCACTGTCAGTGGCCTTGGGGAAATCATTTTACGGCTTTGAGTTAACTTTTTCCTTGAGTGAAAATGAGATGATCTTCTGACGTCCCCAGGTCATTGTGAGGATCAAGGCGGGTAGCACATGGGCCACGACAAGGGCTCTGAACTGCTTCCCACTTGCAGACTTCTCGACACGTCTCTCTCTGGAGGCCCTCTGATTCCTTTTAAATACGTGTTTTCATAATTATGAGACAAATATACGCTCGTTGTAAATAACGGAAACATTAAATGACTCTATCCTGAGTCACCCTCAAAAATAATTGCTTCACATTTTCCTCTGTGACAAGTTTAATAATTATATTATCACTGTTAGAATTTAATCACCTTAATGATAACTGACTTGTAGATGCTTTTTAATTTTACCATGTGTCTTAGATATATGTTGTTTTTAATGGCTTTTGAACTTTTCCTTTATTCATATGTACTGTAATTGGCTACCAAATCCTTATTGGTGAATAGTTGAACTGCTTCCAATTTTTCACTATTATAAGGAATGCTGTACTAAGCTTGTACAAAAGCTTTGCAAAAAAAAAAAAAAGGCAACTCCTTAGATCACTAAACTTTGTGGCATTACCTAAGATTTCTAACATGCAATTCCATATATATAAAATTTTTGGCTAGTTGTAGCATTTGAACTCAGGGCCTGGGAAGTATCCCTGAGCTCTTTTGCTCAAGGCTAACGCTCTACCACTTTGAGCCATAGCTCCAGTTCCAGTTTTTGAGTGGTTAATTAGAGACAAGAGTCTCATGGGGACTTTTCAGCCTGGCTGGCTTTGAACCATGGTCCTTAAATCTCAGCCTCCTGAGTAGCAAGGATTATAGGTGTGAGCCACCAACACTTGGTTCCTTTAATATTTTTTTATCCAGCTATGACCTGCCCTAATAATGGGTAGTTGGTAAGCAGGAAAATAAAACCTACCTCTTTTTTGTTGCTAGGACTTAAACTCAGGGCCTTGCACTTGCTAATATTCATTTCTCTTCATATTTTTATACATTAGTGACATAATCCTTGATAGAAATTGGCCCTAACACCAGGATTATCTCATTCATTCTTCTGGGTGTGGATCCTAAGCATCTGAGAACCCCGGAGTCCCACCAAAGAGGCTGCTTTATATTTGGTTCAATTTCTAGCCCTATCAAATCTAAAATCTTGATCAATTCATGGTTGATCTAATTTACTTGTTTTTGACAGCTGGAATAAACAGCTATAAGTATGGTTAGCCTTGAACTCATCAAGCAAAGTGACAGCTATACCCAATGTTCAAAGCATGGCTACTGTTATGCTTCTAATCCTGGAATAAACTATAATGTAGGCTCTGCATCCAACCACACCCAAGAAGTGGTTTCTAAGGGGGTGAAATAGAGTTTTATAACACCACCGAGGAAAATCCTTCTTTTTTTGTTTTTTGTTATTTTTATGGGATTCATTGGACATGTAGCTGAAGAAAGCCTCTTGTCTTTCTTGAATTAGTCACTCCATTTTTAGAACTCTTGATTTCCTAATCCCCTAAAAAATAAAGAAAATCAACTTAATATTCACCACGGATGTTTGAATGTTAGCAGAATAATGCTGACATTACCCAAACAGGTTTGGGTTCATACTGAATTTTCAAAGGCCAAACAAATTAACAGTGGTGACATCACTGAAAGTTGGCAGTTTGTAGCTCTGAAATTGAGTGGTACCTCACAGAGCTAGTGAGTCAGAAATATCTCCTGGTTACGCTCGTAAGAGTCTGCCTTCGGCAAGGTCTTGTAAACATTAACCAAATCCCAAGGATGGAAGATACATCAACTATCACAGGAATCATTTCACTTGGCTGATAGATAAGTAGCATCAGCTCATACGTTAGGAGACATCTGTAGATGTGATTCACTCTTTCCACACTGTGTGATCTTGGCCATGTAATTTAACTTCACAAAATCACACCTCCCACATCATCAGACTTTTTAGATAATCAAGTGTGGAGCTGTATGAAGTGGGGAACTATTACCACTGTTATTTCTTTTGTTTGATGTTAAGGAACTGCTTTTGAACTATTAATAGTCCAGTTTACAACTTAGATAGGTATGGTTTGGTTTTTTTTAAATATGTATTTATTTGGTATGTTTATCACTGTTGTCCTAGAACTGGGGCTTGAACTCAGGGCCTGGGTGTTTTTTCTTAGTCGATGTGCTACCATTTGATCAACAGCTCCACTTCTGGCTTTTTGTTGCTTCCTTGAGATAGCAGTTCACTGATGTTCTTGCCTAGGATGGCTTTGAACCATGATCTACAGACCTGAAGCCACCAGTGCCCATTTGTAAATGCCTATTAGCAAAACTTCAGCATAAAGATGGAGTCCATATTTAAAGCTTCCTTATCAAATTTGTCAGTTTTATTTTTATTCAAGTGTCCCAATCATGTGTCAGATAACCAATCAGTGTTACACTTCACTGAGTGGATGGACTTGGGGAAAAGAGTGTTAGATACATCCCTACAACTATAGAAAAACTGTAATGTTATGCATATTTGAACACATTCACTTTTCCAAGGTGGGTATTTAGAGGGTATTCATCTTTTTCAGTAGTACCAATCATTTATCAGTCACCCGTCAAGATGCTCATTAAAGATTTGCCATTTTGGGTACTTTCTTATTTGACCAACAGGTGACTAGAATATTGAGGAATAACATCAAATCCCTTAATTAATGAAGAGGAACAGAAGCTATCATCTCTTGTATTCGTTGATCAGTCCAGACAGCTATCAGTTTCAATTATCAGGAGTCTAAGACTTGCTTGGTGTGCCCCACAGAGAGATCACAGAGAACCTGACCAGAAGCCTACCTGGGGAAAGGCCAGAGTGGCCCAGAGCACATGCAGGTCACCCTGCAATTCCACCCTTTTTCTGTGGCCCATGACTTTTGTTGTCAGATTCTTGTCCCTAGACACTAAAACAAGCACATTCAATACAGGCCATGATGATCAATCACTAATGAGGGTAAAGGCTCAAAACCTGCAGCTTCCCTTGGAAACCCACAAATTGCATTTAACACAAAATCAACATAGATATGGTTAACATCAGTCCATGTATACAAATGAGGAGGCCAATGTAGCACCAGTGGCTCACACCTGTAATTCTAGCTACTCAGGAGACTGAGATCTGAGGATCATACTTCTAAGCCAGCCCAGACAGGAAAGTCTTTGAGACTCTTATTTCTGATTAACCACTGAAAAGCCAGAAGTGGAGCTGTGGCTCAAATGGTAGAGTTTGGAGTGAAAAAGCTAAGGGACAATGCCCAGGCACTAAAGTTCAGACCTTAGTGCTAGCACATGCATACACACACACACACACACACACACACACACACACACACACAATGATACGTCCAAATGTTTACTTTTGAGAAAAGGCTTAGAAGCATTGTAAAATACACATTAGCTTCTCACTGTGTGTGTGTGTGGGGGGGTGTTTAGATGCTCATCTTAGACCAAGAAGAACAGATTATCCCAAATGTCTTCACAACAGTCAATACACACCACTAAGCTGTCACGTTTTCCATTTTAGCAATGTCCAGCTACCTCTTTATCATTAAATACGAACTTCCTGAAGTTATCAGAGCATTCATGGGACTTGAAGAAAATACTGGGTATGTCTCACGCTTCTTCCGTGGCGTCCAGTAGCTCCCTGTCTTTCCCCCTTTCCGGTCCTGACATCCATGTCGCTGTTTCTCTCATAGGGAATGGTACCTCAACGGCAACTACCTCATCATATTTGTGTCTGTGGGAATTATTCTGCCACTCTCTCTTCTGAAAAATCTAGGTAAATCCCTTTTCTAACTGAAGATATACATTTTTGCATTCTAATAAGCAAGATCCCTGGAGATGCTAGATTCACCTTCCAAAATATTTCTGTTAACTCTTAGGTTACCTTGGCTATACCAGTGGATTTTCCCTCACCTGCATGGTGTTTTTTGTTAGTGTGGTAAGTGATTTGTAATATATTCCTTGTAGTATGGTGAATGTGAGAAGCTATTAGTGACTAAATTAGTGTCTTCTTGGTGTGTGTGTGTGTGTGCATGCACACTTGTACCCACTGGTCCAGTGCTGGGCCTGACCTTTTTCACTCAAAGAAGGCATTCCACCACTTCATCCATACTTTTACTTCCAGCTTTTTTGTTGTTAATTAGAGATAATCATCTCCTGGACTCTTTTGCTCTGGCTGGCTTTGTACTGGAATCCTCAGATCTCAGTCTCCTGAGTAGCTAGGATTACAGCAGGAGCCACCTGCAGCTGGCTGAATGTCTTCATTTTTGTTCAAGCACTTCACAAGCATGAAATAATTCTTGTACCACAAGCAGTTTTGTTGAGTTCTAAATTGGAATGAGGAAAAAAGCAGTCCTGAGCTTAAAAATAGTTGAGTTAGAATGGCAAGGTCATTACAAATAGTATGTTCTAGGCACAAGGAATGAATATGTGGACAAAGGAAAAGGTCAGGAATCCCATTTAGGAAGGCAGTGGAAGGAGGGAAGCCTATAACTGTCTCTACATAAGCTAACCATCGCTCTTCCACATCTACCCCATAAGAGAGGACAACCACAATGAAATTAAAGAAGAAATTCAATCCCTAAGAAAAAGATAACTCTTTTGTAATATAAATTTATAAAATGTTTCTCCTGAAGAAGCAATAAAAAAGGAGGGGCTTTGTGTGTGTGTGTGTGTGTCTGTCTGTCTGTCTGTCTGTGTCTCTCTGTCTTGGGGCTTGAGTTCAGGGCCTGGGCACTGTCCCTGAGTTCTACCACTTGAGCCATAGCTCCACTTGTGACTTTTTGGTGCTTCATCGGAAATAAGAGTCTCACAGGCTTTCCTGTCCTGGCTGGCTTTGAACCACAATTCTCAAGTCTCAACCTAGGTCTGAGCCACTGTTGCCTGGCTAAGGAAAGGATTTCTTGATGAACCATGTGATCTTTAGTTTAAAGACATAGAAAAGTTTGAAAGGTAGCAAGGAAATGTGTCGCAGCAGGGGTCAGGGTGGCCTTGTGTAAAATACTGCCCTGTAGAGTCCCTGGGGCAGCTCTGGCAGGCTTAGCCCCAACTTTTTCCTTAGAGCTGAGATTCGAAGAAGTTTCTGTGGTCTAGAGTCCTCACTCCTCTGGGTTTTTATTTTGTGATTTTGACCTTTATTATTATTATTATTATTGTTTTAATGATGGTGTCTAGGTGATTTACAAAAAATTTCAAATACCCTGCCCTCTGTCTGTTCTGGATCACCATGATGGAAATGTGACGTTCAACAATACCCTCCCAGTACATGTGATAATGTTCCCCAATAACTCTGAGAGCAGTGGCGTGAACTTCATGATGGATTACACGCACCGCAGCCCCTCTGGGCTGGACGAGAACAAGGCCAAGAACTCTCTCCTCGGCAGTGGTGTCGAGTATGAAGCCCACAGTGATGACAAATGTCAACCCAAATATTTCGTATTCAACTCCCGGGTAAGTAAGAGACCGGGTCTTTCCTAAGCCCAGTTAATGTGGACTCCGAGTATTTATTTCATTGACTGAGATGGCACGGAAGTTGCCATCTGTGTTGGAATGCTAAACATGGGGTATTGTCTTTGTTTTGCAGACGGCCTATGCAATTCCTATCCTAGCGTTTGCCTTTGTATGCCACCCTGAGGTCCTTCCCATCTACAGTGAACTTAAAGAGTAAGACAGCCATCATTTTAGCATTCTAATTTGCTCCTTGCTGAGGACACATGCTACTTTGTAGCTTTCTCTTCAGAAAAAGTATGGGCTATCGTCATTTATCCGTGACATGTTTTAACCCACAAAGTATAAATTGGCCTATACCGCAGTCTTGCCTTCTCTGCTTTCTCTCCTGTTCTTCTACTAGAATGGTTTGAGGAGGGATCGGGGCAGGTGGGGAGGGAGGGAAGAGCTAGTGGTTATAATGATCTGGACAGGTTTGAGGAATTTAAATTGGAGTTTTAATGGGAAATGGCAGACAGAATGAAGACTACAATGTATGGTTAGGGTGGCCTTGGTAAAGCATGGATATCACTTGTGGTCAATTCAAAAGCCTTGTCTGGAAGATGTTCACCCTAACACATGAGCCAATGTCCGGATGCATTGTCTCATCCGTACATGGCAGATGTGACAAGGAAATCTTGTTTCTTCCTGTATGATTAAGGTGTTATACAGAAGGATTACCATTTCCTAAGGCAAGTAATGAGTACATTTCTTCTTTTTTTGGACCATGTCATCCCTTCCTTCACTTTCATTCAGCTTCCTCTTCCTTCCCCTTCACCTCTGACAGAAGACTGACATGTAATACTTCCCCACTTCTTTAACCCAAACTTCCGTAACCTCACTCTTCATCTGTACTAGACAAGAATAATTCTCCCACAAATTCTTATTTACCTCATTAAAAAAAAAAAGAACTTTCAGAACCATTTCAATGTTGGTGTCTTTGATGTGCTTGGAAAATCATATGGAGCAGTTACTCCCTAATGTCTGACAACTGACTATAGGAAGACGGGTACCATCTGGAATGGTTTCCAGATGCTTCTTCTATGGAAGCAATCACTGTGTAAGTCCTCCTCAGAGTCTGAACACTGAAGAAGATATGCTTTGCGGATAGTGGGTTCTTTATGTTAGAAGCCTTTGACTTTATGTTAATTATAGCCTTAGTTATTGAATAGAAAAACTCACTTACAGTCATGAAAGACTGTTCTTGTAGGGAAATGGTCGTGACACAAATCCTCCAGCATGCTCTAAGTCCATTTAAATCAGTTGTAAGTTTAGGTGCTAGAAATGTGGTTTCATAAGGAGCAACTCGGACATTACTTTTTCTTTTAATTTGATTACTTTCTTATTTTAATTTGTAAAAAAGGGATATTTGGGCAAGTGTAAGAAATGAAGCTCAGTGCTCCTTTCTCTTTCTTTTAGCCGATCCCGAAGGAAGATGCAAACAGTGTCCAATATTTCCATCACGGGGATGCTTGTCATGTACATGCTGGCTGCCCTGTTTGGTTACCTCACTTTCTATGGTAGGTCATTGTCAAGGTCATTCTGTCTGTGACAATCTCACTTGGATCAATGATGGATCTAGGAATGACAGTTACTTAGCTTTGTCACTGACTTAAGGAAATAAGTCTTAGACCACTTAGTTCACAGGTTACAAAACTTTGTAACAAGACTTTCACATGTATTTTATTTTGTTTATTCGCAATTGGTTGACAAGACTTCTCTCTGATATTTATTTTTTTAACCTTAAGTAGTTATACAAAGGGGTTTATTTATTTATTTATTTTTGGGGTCTGGTCATGGGGCCTGAACTCTGGGCCTGGGCGCTGTCCCTCAGCTCTTCAGCTCAAGGCTAGCGCTCTACCACTTGAGCCACAGCGCCACTTCCGGCTTTTTTTTTCTTTTTGCTTATGTGGTGCTGGGGAATCGAACCCAGGGCCTCATGCATGCAAGGTGAGCGCTCTACCACTGAGCCACCTTCCC